TACCAGTCCTCCCGATGATCTTTGTACGTATGTGTTGAGCAACAGTTGACACCTGCGAAACATCAGTTGCCACCCTCTCTATTCTGTTATCTAGAAGAAAGCGCTGCCACGTTAATCGCCGACACAAAAGTCTTCCACATCGCACACACCAAGGGGCTACAGCTCCCGGGCTGCCTTGAAGATACCAGGGCCGAAACACAGCAGCTCCACAGTGGCGAAAGCTAACGAACTATAGAAATGTAAATTAAACATCAAATTAAATAACTTTTGAACTCACAGCAAATGGAAAGACGCAAGCAGACCTCACATTATCAATAACCTATCATCCAGACACCCTATCCAACACTGAGCATCCCCGTGTATTGACTAAGTCTGTTCCATACCTGGGGTCAACGCCCCCGCAGCCCGGTCTATGACCAGGCCTCATGGTGGATCAGGGCCTGATCAACCAGGCTGTTACTGTTGGCCGCATGCAACCCGACTTACGAATCACAGCCCGGCTGGTCAAGTACTGACTTTAGGTGCCTGTCCAATGCCTTCTTGAAGACAGCCAGGGGGTCTATTGGTAATCCCCCTTATGTATGCTGGGAGGCAGCTGAACAGTCTTGGGACCCTGACACTTATTGTATTGTTCTTATCGTTCTAGTGGTACCCCTGCTTTTCATTTGAGGGATGTTGCATCGTCTGCTGTGTCTTTTGCTTTCATTGGGAGTGATTTTCGTGTGTAAGTTTGGTACTAATCCCTCTAGGATTTTCCAAGTGTATATAATCATGTATCTCTCACCTACGTTCTATGGAGTACGGGTTAAGGAACTTAAACGTTCTCAGTAATTGAGGTGCTTTATCGCAATTACTATGAACGTTTGAAGTTCCTCAACCTGTACTTCCTAGAAAGAGTGTCTTTGCAATTGTCTTTTTCACAACTTGGCGGGTTTGCGTCATTTATCTCCATACGGCTCTTGCCAGGAAGCCTCGAGATCGGTTTTCCACACAGCGACAGAATGTAGCACTGCAGTAGCCCTACTGGCCCATCGAATTGTAGTGCTATACATTACCGACAAGTTGATAGTAAGACATGTGCGACACTAGGAATCTTTACTTTATTACGGGTACTAGGAGGAGAGACAGTCAAAATGACAGATTTACACATATAACAGGATATCACTGCATTAATGTACGCCTTGATACGCTGAAGAAGAGACAACTCTATGCAATGCAAGAACTCTACATACCAGATAGAGAACATCCTCTCCAAGTTGAAAATACCACTGACTATATCATTAATACTCCTCCTCCCAGGACCCAAAGAATGACTCTCCCACAGAGGCTGTGTCACTTCATCCATAAAGACGATTACCATCGACCAATGATCTTGAGCAACCTCCCTGCAGATGAAGATGATTGGGTAGCACCATAAACCTTCTATGTCTACTAAGAAAATTATGGCCCTTAATTAGGGAGACGTCTTGTATAACATTTCTACTTCTACATCTACTGTTATAAATATGCTACATTTACTATGGCGGGACACCACCTTGAAAGAAGCTAACGTGTCAAGTAATTCTTTACGAACTGTCCAGATTACCGCCTTGTCTTGTTTAAATATTCGTTATGCAATCGCAAAAAAAAAAAAAAGCAATTGCAACTTGTATATCTACTACCAATTCAGAGTCATGTACCTATATATCTGTTATATCTATGTGACTTTGATGGGTTAGTATTATACCCCTTCAAGAATTTTCTGTTATTTCACATACACTTTTTAAATTGCACCAAAGTGGTTGGGCCACTTACCTTTTATATCCTGCCTCACTCCCCCGTCCCAACCTTTTCCATTATTTCTATCCTTACCCATCCTTCTTCCTTACCCATCTTACCAAAGACTCTGGTCATAAGAATCGAATCGAATCTTTACTAACTAAATGTTTCGCCTGCGCTGCAAGAGGACAACGAAGTAGGGAAATAGTTTAATATGATTGTCTTGCACCTAGGATGGTGGACTGATACATTAAACTGCCTCTAAAGCTTGTAGTGTCAACGAAACGTTGATACTACAAGAAGAGTGTTGTACATGCGAAGTGTTGTACCTGTGAGTTGTGAATATGGAAATTTAATTAATATCAGCGACATCATTTAGCAAAGCTCTAGAGGTACAATCCTACCCAGTCTGCTTAGTGGCTCAATACTAGATTATAATGCCTGTGTCTTCCGGAAAGAGCTTTGTAGCAAGTGGTAAAAAAGTAGGTTTTCTTCTAGAGGTGACGACTCTGTGTTGAAATTAGTACGGACATTCGGGCTAATTCGCTTACCGATGGTAAGTTAGGAAGCTGCTTTCCTTAAGTGAATTCCTGACCAGTTGCTTATTCAACAGATTATATCTAGGTCCGAAAGAGCTGTGCAAAAGCTTTCTTAGATGCAAGTCGCATTGATGTAACCATGGTAGGCTTTCTAATAATTTCAGAATCCTGAATGGAAGCATTATTGCGAAATTCCCTATCCATAGGGTCACCCAGGTAAAGCATGCTCGGGAACGTGTCCACAGTCTTCTCCAGAGATTTAAGATGCAAGCTGGGCGTCCTTAGTGATAAACACATCACGTGGCTTTGATGCAGTAAAATACCATTACAGCAATCCTGTGTGAGTCAGAAAATTTATTGCTGATAAAATATACAACTCTGATACTGCAAGTGAAGAGGCATGAGTCTTGAGTGAGTCAGTCTAGTACAGCCTGTCCGGTTACTCACATAAGTTTATTTAGGTATAGGTACACATTAGTACAATCATCATACCTAGTACATATGCGTAAGCTACCTAGGATAACCCCCAAAAAAGTCAGTGACTTAATGCACCGAGAGGTGTACATATCTCGGTGTACACTGAAAGTTTAGTTTAACTCTTATTTTACGGATTACATTATTATATAATTTTAACTAGGTGCTAAACCCACAAGGGTCATACAGCTTTTGGGATTACAGTATTCTCGACTGGTGGTGAGCAGGTTATGTGCAGCTTTAGTGACCCCTCGTGTGGTTGACAGGTTTTAAACCCCACTAACCAGTGCCTTGATGCTGGTAGGGATTCTTGGTTGAAGGAACAGAGATGCCCTTCTCTTCCTCGATTAAACATGGTTGTCCTTTTTTCATTTCCTAGGCATTGTATGACATTATTATTATTATTATCATCAAAACTAAACGCTAAACCCACCAGGGTCATACATCACTGCTGTATGACTTTGATTTTCTCCCCATGAATATAACTACATGTGTTTTGGTCGCTGCAGTATCTAAGGTCTCCCAGTATCTCACAAGCCCAGTCTCCTCTATGCCAGTGTATGCAAAAGGAGTAGCACAGAGTGCAGTATAAGTTTCTAATGCATAAAGGATTTGAAACATTTATAAGTTATGCACAAGTTATCACATGGAAACATATAATTTCTTTAGTAAAAATAAAAAAATTGATCTCTATATAGCGAAAGGTCATTTCAAACTTTCCACCAAGATACATCGTTATTATTATTATAATCAAGAAGTGCTAAACCTGTAGGATTGTACAGTGCCTGTGGGGGAGATGTGGAAGGTATTCAGGCTTAATTCAGGGAACTGGAGCATAGATCCAGTTCCTTAGATCAAGAGCCCTTCACCAGCATTAAGGAACCTCCCTGGAGGGGACCAAGATACATCACCTTTGAAAGTTTAAGCCAAACAGAAGGGGAATTCTCTTAGTTATTACATTGAATCAGTATCCCAGTATACATTAGTGCTTCAAGTTTGAAGTCCCTCAAGAGTTGCATTGTCAAGTTTTCAGTACTGAAGGTTTGAAGCTGATTGGATGAAGCATTTATAATTTATTGGATGAAAACCAATATTTAAATTTTCCAACTTTAGTAAAATTTGAAAATTGGCATGTACACAGCCCAAAATGAATCCAAACTTTTCCCTTTGTAAGTTATAATAGCATTTGTGGTTTGAAGTCAATCAGAAGAAGCATTCTCTAGATAAAGAATTGGAAAAAAATGTTTAATAAAACTGACATTAAAACTTGCACAACTCAGTGTGAAGCTGTCTTTGAAAAAAGGTATAACTCGATCAAAAATATTCATTTGCCAGTTATTGCACACAATCTGTCAGTTCCAAGTTTATTAACTGGCATATCACTGGAGGCTCACATCAACTGAATAACCTCTGCAGCCAGGGCTTATTTGGCATATCTACGAGTGGCCTTCAGAATTCTCAACAGTCATGCTGGGCCATTTATACACGTCAGGCCGATCTTCGAGTATGCAGCACCGGCATGGAACCTACACCTGAGAAAATGTTAAGAAACTGAAAATGCATCTTAGGGCCAAGATAGTACCTTGCAGCAGGTAGAAGATGGAAGGAAAGGGAGAGGCTTGAGATATGAGAGATTATTATTATTATTATAATCAAGGGGGAAGCGCTAAACCCGTAGGATTATACAGCGCCCAGGGGAGGGGGGGATGTGGAAGGCATTCAGGCTTAATTCGGGGAACTGGAGCACAGATCCAATTCCCTAAATCAAGAGCCCCTCACCAACATCAAGGAACCTTCCATGAGGGGAGAGATATGAGAGAAAGTACCTGAATTTGGAAGGGGGGGTGGGAAGAGAAGTTAGGGAAGAGAGAAAAACTGGGGAAAGGGAGTTGTTGGAAAACAACTAGAATAGGGAGTTAATAGGATGAAGTGGAGGGACTTTGGGTCATTAGTGGGTACAAGATTTGTGAATGTATGGTAATGGGTGGTAAGTCTGTGGGATTCACGATTCAGGACCTTCCAATCTCCCATAGAGTTGCCCTTTATCACTTAGTTCCCAGTATTGTCCCAGTGCCTTTAAAATTGTTGGTCATTGGTCCAAGTTAGATAACAGTTAAACTGCTTATAATCAATATGTTATTACATTTCTGGTTGTGGGGAAAATGTAGTCTTGTAACTGTGCATTGAACACACCAAACACACACCAAATAAAAAGGAAAATAAATTCAATTTCTTAATTTTATATTTATTAGATAAAATACTGCTCTTGAGATTCCCTATCTACATAGATGAAAGAGCAACCTTGGTTGTTGTGTTAAATTTAGAATTACAATATAACACAGTGGTTTACCATTTCCATGGATAATCTTGTCTTCCAAGACAACAGTAGAACCAATTTACTAGTGAGACCTTTTAATAATAAGGTCCAGCTGGGTGGATAGTTAAGGAAAAATTAGAAGGACGATTATGGGCAATAGCACTTTTTTTTTCCAATCTACAAGCTATCCACAGTGTAGCAATCAGCCAGTGCTGACCTTGGGGCCTCATAAGCTTGACATAATTTATTAAGACCTCAACATGTTAACGTGTGGTTATGAAAAAACTGAAAATCAATTACGCCCCCGATTAGATAGTTTACAAATAGAGGGAGGCAACAGATGATGCCACATCAACATATTTGTTCAAAACAGACTTATTGTTTGTTCTAATGTGTAAGTTTATAATACTGAAGAGTAGCTTTGTCCGTGGCATAATATAATAAATAGTGCATGATATACTTTTTTCGTCTTTCAAGAGTAACACTGCGCTGAATCACAGAAATGTGAACAGTACCTTGCATATCTTTCACTGTATAACTATGCAGTTTCCAAAACAACTTGTGTGCATGGATGATGCTTCATTTAGGAATTTTGAAAAGTATATAAATCACCATGTACAGTTTTGTTATTTTTACACAGTAATAACAGTATGTTTTTCACTTACACACTATAATCACTATTAGATCATTTTTGGAGTTGACAGACAGCTCCTGGTTCTGACATCCCAGGAAAAAATGGTGTTTTCTTTCACTATAAATTTTAAAGACGAGCCTAAGTCTATTAAAAAAATGTATGGTACCACTGACTACACCTTGTAGCACAAATTGCTAATCACAGACTCAATATTTACATTTAAAAGAACACTGTACAATAAATACAATCATTACATCTTTATACTCCAAGGCAGAGTATCAATAATATTTGTTTTGCTAAACTATTACTTTTATATTTTAATCATGGGGAAGCATGAACCTTGAAGAGATCATATAGTGCCTGGGGAATGGGGAGGCATTGAAGTTCAATTCAAGAAAGGGAAGGATAAGTCCACTTCCTTGAATCAACAACCCCTCACTACCATTACTAAATTATATTTACTTCTTGCACGAACTTGTCTTTTATATGTATAAGCTGTATTCTATTCTTATGCCCAAATTATTATTTTTGTTATTATAATCAACAAGAAGTGCTTAACCTCTTATGCCCAAAGAGATAGTACAGCCTCTCCTCACTTAACGACGGAGTTCCGTTCCTAAGACCACGTTGGTAAACAAATTCATCGCTAAGTGAGGAACATACTATAATGGTAGTGGGTTTGTGTCAACCATCTTTGATATTGTTTTAATGTTACCTTTGCACCATTTATAACATTTCTGGTATATTATTAAAATGTTTATACAGTATTGTATTGTATATTGTAATAAACAGAATAGAGGAAATCAGCTCTAATATACATTATTTAGGTATGCATACTGGTCAGAGCCCGTCATAAGTCCGAGGCATCGGTAAACGAGTGTGTCGCTAAGTGAGGAGAGGCTGTACATGTATTTATAATTTTTATTTTCACATACTGTATTTTTTAAATTTTATTCACTGTATGAAGATACGAACATGATTACTTGCTAATTGGAACACCAGGCTCACTGAACATAAAGATTTTGCTGAAAAATCCCTTAATGTATATGGTAAGAATATTTACCTATTTATATTTACAGTAGCAGAGCTATGCACATAACCCCCGGAGGGAAGAGGTGAAGGTGTGAAAGGTGGTGGTCTATGATATTAAAGAATAGTTTTTTATAAGTAGGCTGTTTACAAAGAACTACAGTAGCTACCATTGTGGGACTCATCATATACACAGTCTTTCACTAACACTAAATATGGTTTTATGAAATTTTTAGTCAAATTACTTAACTATATGAAGAGTGGTTATCAAATGCTACTAACCTTCTTATTTAAGTTATGTTCAGCATTTTCTAACTGTTTTTCTTGTAATTTCCTTTTAATCCCAAGAACAGTTTTGGCCCACCTAACAAACATGCATTTTGTAAAGAAAAAAGTTCGTTTAGTGAGACCCTGGTTTATGTTACAATTTACAGCCACATAAACTAAGTTGCTACAACAACCATCATTATTATTATTATTTGGTAAGCCAGTGCAGATGTGTATTTATCTTTTCGTTCCATCTTTGGTGTTCTTTGTTTTACTTCAACCAACATATGGTAGTTTCAAAAGACCATTGAAGTGGTAATGACTGCAGTAATGATGAGTATAAGAGGTAGATTATTACTTTAAACACCAAAAGTGGTGACATAAAAGAACTTGTTGGACTACCTAAACACACTAGTGTACAGTATTAATAAAAATGTGATAAGTTTACAAAAGTGCATACTGTCTAAGAAAACCCTCTATTTTTTCTTTATTCAGTTCAACTCCCTCCCAGTATCATATGCTCCAACACACCTCACATGTTTGCAAAAAAAAAAAAAAAAAAAATACATTACAGTAGTATTTGTTAATTTCATTGGTCAAAATATTTTAATATGAAAAAATACATCATAACTTTATCTTCCCACAATGCTTTTCAGATTATAAATATGTGACTTTGAAAACTTGGTTTTATCTAACCATTATACCATACAAAAGAAATCTTTAACACTGGATTGGTCATTTTATAAAAAAAAAAAAAAAATTAAATACTGTACTGAATAATGCAGTTTAAGAAGCCAGGATAACTAAAGACACACCTATCATTTGCCATTTTCAGCAGCTGAAAATTATATTTTATTATATGAATGAGTGGAAGAACTCCTTAGTGGCTCTCCTTTGCAAAATTTTTAACAGGATAATGGTCCTCGTATTCTTGAACGTGGGCCTGCATGTACTCGTACTGTTCTCTGTGGATAGAAAATAGACAAAATGAATACTAATACATAAATGTTATTAATTTAGATCACACTTGTTCTTGTCAGGTTTCACTTACACTGATAATAGCAGACTACTGTCATCAAAATCTTAGGAAAGGTATCCAGTAATCTTTCACTGGGTTTCATATTTACCATTCAATGCTGAATGACCATTATAGTTTAATTTTTTGGTGTGTGAATGTAATAATAATGCAGTATATTTCCAAAGCCTGGAAAATGGTCATTTTACATGAAAAGTTCCATTTCATTATGAATTACCAAGGGCCTTGCAGGAAGTCTACTCATCAACCTTTCATCCAAACCTCTGTTGTAAACCTAATTACTATTCTCTTTTTCTTCAACTAAGTATTACATAGTACCAAACCCCTTTCTAAAAATAATTCAATTAGAGGCCCCTTGTATTAATTACCTTTGACACTCATTTACCTACTGTACCTTCAACAGTGTCTCCTCACTTACTTTTAGCATTTATGTCACTCACAACAATTATTCTTTCACTTGGTTCAAAACCTCTCAACATTCAGTTTCATTAATGTCTTGCCATTCACAGGGTTTTAGTGGTACATAACCTCAAAAAGAGCAAGGATTTAATATAAATTATATTCACAAAAATTCACTAAAAGGTTTTACTGTAAATTAGTATTGTACCTTGTTTTTAGAAGTAGTGGGAATACTCATGGACTATCTATTATTTCATTTTCAGATAATACTGACAAACAGAACTCAGAGAGATGTATGGAACTCATCCCTAATTTTCTGATAAAACTTTAAACAGTGATTGAATTGCGCTGTTTTGATATATTCAAGTTTTCCTCAAGTGTATTTCTGGGGAAATCCAAAGCATAATGTGCATAAAATGTTATGTTTTACATCATAAGGTTTAAAAGCTTGGAAAACTAAACATACAAATAATGGAGCATTGCAGTGTACTATGAATATTGTATATTAAAAGAACTATAGTAATAAAAGGTTTAAAGCACTACTCACTTGATGTGGTCAGGCATCTTATCATATACATCTGTAAACATTTCTTTCCAACAAGGCTTCTGACGACGCTCTGCTCTGGCAAAGGCTTGCATCACCTGTGAGTAACATACACAGTAATCAACTTCATTAAGTAATCACAATTACTCTATTTATTATAATTATAGAAAAGCACTGCACTGATAAGGAGAATACCTGGAGATACCTGGAGAGGGTTTCGGGGGTCAACGGCCCTGCGGCTTGGTCTGAGACCAGGCCTCATGGTTGAGAAGTAATCAGGTTTGATCCGAGGAAAGGGAGGGTAGCTCCAATTCCTTGGATCAAAAGTATTTCACTGGCATCAAGGCACCCCCTTGAATAGTAAGGAAACACTAATGATCTGCTTATAAATGCATAACTATTAACAATTAAGAGATAAAGCTAAAGATGTATATTTCATTAAAATATATTGAGGTCACATTGGCTGGTTTTCCAATTTATATGGTTGGTTTCAGGGTCAGGAAAACATTGTACTGCATATTCTAAAGAAAGTCCACTGTAATGAAAAGCACATTGGACAGACTAATTATCTCTCGGTGGGAGACGGCCGACATGTTGAAAAAAAAATATGAATGGAAGATAACACAATATATTAAATTTTCAGTTTTGAATGAAGGCAACAAATATTACTGTATATGCAGTTAGCTGGACTTGAGTCCTGGAGGTGGAAAGTACACTTTAAAAGAAGGGTTTGGGATATTTGCAGTTTGGAGTGACATCTGAACTGTCATATCTGTGCATGTCTGCAAAGACAGTGATTATGTGTGAATGATGGTGAAAATGTTTCTTTTGTTTTTGGGTCACCCTGCCTTGGTGGGAGACAGCCGGTATGTTAAAAAAAAATGCAGTAAGAAAATTGTAAGTGGGATAAGGAGCAGTTGTAATTTGTGAAATGGATAGATACATAAGACAGTGAAGGACATGATATTTTGATACTCTATTTTTATGCCTGTCATAGATGGGTGACATGCTGTTACTCATGATGAGTGGGTCAAAAATTTGTAAAAATTTTATTATCTATGTTTGAGGGGTCAATAATGCCATGCTTAGTGGGGGAAAGGAGGTACTATTATCAGCCACACAGCAGCCTTCCACTGTATTAGCAGTTGGTACAGTGAAGCCTCCATATCTCCTACATACAAAGCCTCCATATTTACCTAATGAAGATTTAAAGCCATTCCTACCTGCTTTGAATTATATTTCTTAAAGCTCAATCATTTTTTCATTTGCTACATTATTATTTTAGTTAACTTTGGTAATTGTGGAATGGACCTAAAAAATTCAGACCATCTATGCCTGTGAGCAACAGCAGCCAGGTTGATCAAGCAGTCACCAGCAAAGTCTGACCATAAGACAAATTGCCAAGAGTAGAACTCTGGAAACCAATCATCGTTATCAGTCTGAATGCCAACTGACAAATTCGTTAATGAAATGTCTGAAGATAAGGGTACCAAGATGTTAGAAAAAAATAGTTCCAGAAGCAGCAACTAGGGGTATACACTGTCTAGGAACAACAAGGTAAATTTCAATCATGATCAATATGCACTTCAAATTTGAAGTGAATCAAAACAAAAAAAAAAATTCAAGTTATTCTTTTGAAACCAGTAAAACAAGAACAAAATAATCCCTGACAGGGATACCTAACACTGCTAGTTCAGCCTTGGTACAGACATCAATGAAAGATGTTTAATTCATATCTGTGGTCAGTTTGAAGAGCTCTACTCTTGAAACCTGGCCTAAGACCAGACTTTACTGTTAAGTGTCTAATAAACTAAACTGTTCCTGCCTATGCAGGTTAATTTCTTATAAAAGAAACATGCAAAAAATATATTCTAAACTATGCATCATATTTTACAAAACACATGGAATGTATAATATTACATATTTTAAAAACAAAATTCATACATACCTGGCGTTTACAATCATCTTTCCACTGTTTTTCCTTTGTATCATCCCACCATCCTTGAGAAACCATGTAAGCACGGAGACGGGCGATAGGGTGTTGTGTCGAGTCCCAATGTCGCACCTCATCTACTGAGCGGTATGCTGAACTGTCATCTGACGTGCTATGATGCCCAATTCTAATTAAGGTACAACATGAATGTGTCATTACCATTACGGTAGCTAGAGAGATGAGAGAACATTTTGGAAAATCGTTATATGTTGTTGATAAAATGGAGGAACAAATCTTATACATGCAACTTGGAGTCACATATAAGATTTTGGCGATTGAATAAGAGGGAAAAGCAAGACATAGAATAAAATAGTAAATCAGGTGAAAGTGGGGATAAATGGGATGAAGACTAAATTGCTCCAAGCAGATGAGTAAAAAAAACGTGTTGGACTGGTTGTTCTATTTGTTTAAACATTGGAAGGGAAGATACCTAAAAATTAGTAGTCTGCGTAGCTCCATTGTGTAAAGGAAAAAATGCAACAAATAGTAAGGTGTCAAACAAAAAAGCAGAAATATAACCTTTGTATATGGTCAAAAGTTTTGATTCTTTACAATATGAATGTAGGACAAGTGAGGTGCAATAGGTTAAAAAATACAAGAAGGATCCAAATGGTGCACTGAAGAAAAATTGCAGAGCAAGCCTTTGTTTGGGATGCATTTTGCTCTGTGATAAAGTTATGCACAGAGTGAAACAAACCAATAAAGGCTTGTTCGACAGCATGTTTCTTTTCTTCATAATATATATGGAGTTTAGATATTTTCTTTGAGAATAATAACAGAAATAGATTTCCCTCATTTGATGAGGATTCTCTTTATGATAATTCACTATTATGCAATGTCCCTCTTCTGTCTGTAAATCCATAAATATAAATTTGCGGTATGCGACTAGCGCAGCTTGCAAAGGGTACTGAAAATTCTTCTTATGCAGAATTGCTTATGGCCTGATTAAGATTAGTACAGCTGCCATGGATCTGGAGTGCATCTACAACATAAAATGAGGGACACTTGTACATAGAAGTAAATTATAAGAATCATTCACAGACTTGGTAAAAGTTTAAATCCATATAAAATATTTTAAATAATTTATGATAAAGGTAAGTATAAATACAAGCAGTTTAAAATCACAGAAACTAAGAATAAATAGAGCAAATAAAACAATTATGGATAGTTTTTGAAGAACTTGAAAAGGTGTGAAAGAGTATGGCAAACTATTTATGTTATTTTGGTTATTTACTATGTAATTAGACACTTCAATCTCAGGAGGTAAAGTTACTCTCCCCTTATCAGATCAGATCAAAACTGACATCCCAGGGGATGGAAAACTGAACCTGTGGAAGTCATACAGTGCCTGGGAAATGGATGGCAATCATATTTTATCCAAGGAAAGGGAAAAGGGGTGTAATTCCTTGAGCTAAGAGTTCCTCACCAGAATCAAGTAGCCTCCCTCCTTAAAGATAGGGTAATAATAATATTCAAGAGAGAGAAAATGTTCCTAGGAAAGCAAGAACAGAGTACTTCCTCAAATACAGTGCTTCATACACAAAGGATTAATTCAATTACCTGTAAGTCATTGCTTCTATGAGAACAGGGCGATTTTCAGTAATAGTAATATGTCTTGCAGCTTTGGTAACATTGTATACAGCAAAGACATCATTGCCATCAACACGAATGGTGGCCATGCCATATGCTGGACCTCGGGCAGCCACACCATCTCCACGATACTGCTCACTAGTTGGGGTTGAGATGGCATATCCATTGTTACGGCTGCAAAAGAATTCACCTTATGACAAACAAATAAAATTACTGAGTTTGGATGACAAATTACTAGAACATTCTTGTGTACCACTGAAAGCTTGGGATATTAATCCCTTAACCGTAAAAGCACGAAACCCAGTCACGTCACACCCTCTTGGCACACTGAAAAAATTTCTTTGTGTAATATAACTACATGTATCTGGAGTGAGTGCAATAAGCTGTCTAAGTGCATTATAAATAATGTATTGTACAGTTAATGCTGCACATAAAAGAACTAGGAAAACCCTTCTTATCAACAGAAACTGGCATTTTTATTCTTGAAAACCTTGCACCTACTGGTAAGTCAGTTGATCTAGAATATGTCATCTTGCATTAGTCACTATGGAGAATTAGTATTTTTTCTGGGGTCACAATTTTATATTATTTACTTTAAATAAAATAGTTCATAAAATATTTACACTGGTTTACACAACATTCACATAGGAGACAAACTTTTGACAACGTTTCAGTCTGACATGAATCATTCACTATTACCACTACTATTATCTACTACAACTACCACTACTATTACTACTAGCTGCCACTGCCACCATTCCCCTGTCCCTTCCTTCCATTCATGCTTCTCTGTGTGACTTGTTAATGGTTCAAGTCAGATGAAACACAGTCATAAGTTTCAGTCTCCTATGTGCAGTTATTTGTGTGTTGCTCCAGTCATGGTATTGTGCCTTTTTATGCTTTACACTGATTTAGCTTTACAAAAGGCAGAGGTGATTGCAAGAATGAGCTATAGTACTTTACTTCATAACACATGCTACAAGTTCCTTGATACTAATAGACCTAGAAAATTCTGATTGCTGCATCTACATAGATTGAATTAGTGCCTACTCCTTCATTTTTAACTTCCCATAATGGGAGAATGTTATATTAAGTCATACGTTACTAAACTCTATGAATGCTGAGTCAACTTAGAATATATTACTGCACCGCTACTACTACTACTGTTGCTACTCTGACTAGACCACATTACTAGTACACTGCTACTATTACCATATCCCATCTACAAGGCAGATATGATTTTGTAACTGAAACTAACTGTATCAACTGGGACTTTATTTCTTTTAGCACACGACCACAACCTTTCCATTATTTTTCCCCCCTGCCTTATGGAATTTTATGACTCTCAAAGGAGAGTGTATAAATCTGTAGGGGAAGGAAGGCAGGGTAGGGGTTGTCCTTGAAAAGGCTGGAGGGAGGGGGGAAAGGAGGTTTTGTGGGCGAGGGGCTTGGGGTTCCAGCAAGCATGTATGAGCGTGTTAGATAGGAATGAATGGAGACAAATGGTTTTTGGGACCTGACAAGCTGTTGGAGTGTGGGCAGGGTAATATTTTGTGAAGGTTAGCTGGACTTGAGTCCTGGAAACAGAAAGTACAATACCTGTACTTTCAAGGAGGGGTTTAGGATATTGGCAGTTTGGAGGGACTTCTGAACTGTTGTATCTGAGCACCTCTGCAAAAACAGTGATTATGTATGAGTGAGGTAAGAGTGTTGAATGATATTTTTTTTTTTTTTTTTGGGGGGGGGGGGGGGGGTCTTTCTTTTTGGGTCACCCTGCCTAGGTGGAAGACGACCAACATGTTAAAAATATTAAGGATAATCTTACCATAATACTTTTACTGTTACTGAACTACTTCATTAGTAGTGCTACTACTGTTGCTACTCTTACTAGACTACTCTACTACTACTACCAATGCTACTATTAATTGTGTTACTACTAATGTTATAGCTGTTTTATTGAAGATGACATTGTAATTGAGATTGTTATTACTGCAAGTACAACTACTACTATTACTACTACTACTACAGTTACTATAATCAATCATTACTATTATTAAAAGCAAAAGCAGCAAACAATAGCAATCACACCAACCAGAAGAAAATTACAGGACATTCAAGTGTTGCAGAGAAGTTAAAAGCAGCATGAGCATCTCCTTCACTAGAGGTTCCTTCTCCGAAGTAACAGATTACACACTGTCCATTCTGAGCACGCTTGTAGGCATATGCACTTCCAACAGCTTAAGTGGGAAATATAATTGCTTAATGTTAGCAAGGAACATTCAAAGGGCAGTTGAGTGATCTATGTATTACAGTCCCATTTCTCAAATACAGTATACCATAATCTTCATTAACGCAAATATTTCTGTCGAGAGTTCATCAAAAGATAAAAAGTAGCAGCGCTATGAGTTTAGCACTATTTTGAATATAATGATTATATTAAAGCGATTGAATGAAAGATGGTGAATGTGATTCCTTCCTTGAGTCATCTTACCTTGGTGGGAAATGGCTGGTAAAAAAAAAAAAAACACTTTGCATGAAACTGGGACCTGCAATTTCTAAAAACTAACTATATTGATAACAGAAAAAAATTATTTGCAGTAAATAGGGACTTATATGCTAAGATGTGAGCAACTGTTGCAGAGGGTGTAGTAGGTAAGTTTGGGGGTGCCAGCTTTATCAAGCCACTGTAACGGCTTGATAAACCTGGAGAGAGAAACGTTGCCACAATAAAATGTCACATTAGTTGCATTTCCGGTTATTTTTATATAGCCGGACTTGAGTACTGGAAATGGAAATACAATGACTGCACTTTAAAGGAGGGGTTTGGGATATTGGCAGTTTGGAGGGATAAGTTGTATATCTTTATACGTATATGCTTCTAAATTGTTGTGTTCTGGGCACCTCTGCAAAAACAGTGATTATGTATGAATGAGATGAAAGTGTTGAATGATGATGAAAGTATTTTCTTTTTGGGGATTTTCTTTCTTTTTGGGTCACCCTGCCTCAGTGAGAGATGGCCAACTTGTTGAAAAAAAAAAATTAGTTGCATTTATGTCCTTTTACTTAACATATTGTTGGTAATTCTACCAATATTAATACATTTCTGTCATGATCCCATCAATCCCAGCTGCATTGTGTCCCTTTACTTGACAGAAATATTAAAAGCAAGTGGATATGTAGTTTTGGAGTGGTTGGTACCTTTGTTTAACAAATGTATGAAAGAGGGGAAGGTATCTAGGGATTGGCAGAGAGCATGCAAAAAGAGTATACAAATTATAGGGAAAAAAGCCTGTTAAGTATACCAGGTAAAGTGTATGAGTTATTATTGAAGAATTAAGGGTAAGATGGAAAGCAGGATCACAGACGAACAAGGAAGCTTTAAAAAGGGTAGGGGATGTGTAGACCAAGTGTTTATGTTGAAGCATTTAAGTGAGCAATATTTAGATTAAAGTAAGGAGGTTTCTGTTGCTTTCATTGATTTAGAAAAGGCATTGTTCACCATGTGCTTCATTGTAAACATTTGGTCTAAACATTTCCCTACACTTCCTCAAACCTGCTTGTCGCTATGCACTTAACTATAAGGGTTATACAATATGTATACACACACTATTAAAATGGAGATGAAAAATATGACAAATTATTTAAACATACAAACTAGCATTTATGATTTTGCTCATGGTCAATAGACTACGTGGTACATTCTTACTGGAGGCACTGCTGTAGAAGTCAAAATAAAGTTTTTATTACTTGAGTTTCTTGTACCACTTAGAAATGAGTGCCACCTCTGATTTTTAATTCTTTTTTACCTCAATATCATCGGCAAGTTATTTTTTTATGCTTCCTAGTTTGTAAACATTATCAATTATTTTATATTTTCTTGTCTTGTGTAAGAAGTTAATGCTTTATTTTGTAGATAGCCTATGCAAGGCAAATAGTATTTACAGAATTAGTAACTAAAGATATAGCAACTGTAAACTGTCTATAAATATGGAAAAATATAAACAATTCATGCCTGTGTTTCTTCATAGATTAATGCCAGTTAAATAATAAGTCACTGCAATAAGATTCCAATGTCTGCAGGTATAGGTTTAACATGTCCAAACATAATATCACACATACCTTGAGGCATCTGTGTGGCTAATGGTGAAGATATAGTGACAAAGTTATGTGCAAGGGATCCATAGTGCACCGGCATCTGTCTCCCTTTTCCTCCATCTCCTTCATTGCCGTAACACTGGTTCATGAACTGGTCCAGAGGGAACCCTCGCCACATTAGCACACCTGATATGTAGGACAATTTGTATTGTATATTACCAATCTGAGTAGATATTATGAAGTAAAAATTTGTAGTGTCAGACTCAGACTCATGTTTTAAAAAAAACTGTATTGCTTACACAAAAAAAAACTGGTGTGATTTTGCAATAACATACACCCATTTTTTTGCCTTATCAGCCCCCTTACCTGCTTCTCTGTATTGACCATATACTAAGTCTTTTTCATCAAGTGCAGCAGCTGAGCCAATGTGAGTTCCTTCCTCACCATAGTTGGTCATGTAAAATGATATTCGCCCCTGGCGCTGGGATTCATACATGATGCGATCCATGGTGTTAAGTAGGGTCATTCTGTGGTACATGCGCACCACCATCTCTTCACCCAACTGAAGTAAAGCGAGTAACTATCATGAAACATACAGAGGAACAAAATATGGCATTCAATGTAATTTTATACTGTAATTCATTAAAAGTTCAAGTACTATGCAGGAAGACTTTTTTTTTTTTTAACTCAATGGCCGTCTCTTGCCAAAGTAGGGCGATCCAGAGAAAATTTATTACAGAACTACTGTATATGTAATTATTTGTGCAAATATAGTAATATGGTATTTTATTTTAAGTGATATTTCACAAATAGCTAAAACAACAGAAGACAAATTTTTGAGGTCTCAATTATTAACCTTGGGATCATATGCTGGATCAATGATGTTTCCCTTTCGGTCCATAACACGATACACAGGAATGCCATCGTAAAGATCTGGCTGTACAAAGTCAAGCTTCTCAGTCCATTTGGAGCGGGATCCAGGAAAATTAGGTTGTTCTTCGAGGCTGGAGCACAGAGTCTGAAAGCATACAACACACTGAAACACATGAAGAAAATTTTCATTAGATTATTAACCACACAGGGTTAATAATTCAAGTTAACTCAAGAAAGTCAAGCAGTTTAGCTTATTTCTGTTGGGGGTACTTCAGTCCTCTTTCCTTGAAAGAAACCCACAACACTTTGACACTCAAGGAAGAGCCCAGAGGCCAGTAAGAGATTCTTGACCCAAGGCACTGAATTTATCCTCTTTCTTTGGAATGAACCTGCTTTCTTCCCATTACCCTGGGTGCTATGACCCCTACAGATTTAGCAGTTCGCATAAATTTAATAATGATAACACAACAGTTGACTGGCTCCTAGGTATCTACTGTTATGTGAACATGGGCAGCAGGTGTAAGGAGACTTGTCTATATGTCTGTTGTGTTGGGTTATCCATTGTAAATAAAGCATCAATGTACTGTATGTCTTTTCTGAAAGATACAACACTGTAAATTTGTATTGTGTAACCCCCTCAAGGGAGGTTCTTTGATGCCAGTGAGGGGCTCTTAATCCAAGGAATTGGACTTGCCCTCCCCTTCCTTGGACCAAACCTAAATGCCTCCCAGGCACTGTATGACCCCTACTGGTTTAGTGCTTCCCCATAAATATAATAATAATGTATTGTGTAAAATACTACATCTCTATCATTGAAATTTTGTTTTATAAAACATAGAAAAACACATTTTCTTGGGAGGTTGGGTTACACCATAAGTATTGTAAAGTAAAAGGGCACAAGTGCAACTAATGTGACATTAGTTGCACTTGTGTCCTTTTACTTTACATAGTGTCGGTAATTCTACCAACTTTATTACAACCATAAGTATTGTAAAAAGCTTTGAAAACTACAGTATTGAAATTTATCCTGGGATAAAGCTGTGCTTAGGTAATATACAGGTTTATACTCATCACTACTGTATTTTTAATTTCTACAATGGTTACATTTAGGACATTATAATAAGTCTGTACTAGTGATATATCATGAAGTCTTAGAAAATAAAAGGATAATGTGAAGGGTGAGGGTACTGGACCAGCAATAAGTACCTCAAAACCAATTAAGTTTAAGCACAGGTACACATAGGTACAATTAAAATACCGTGTAAATTATCATAGACCACAATGGAAATAAGTCACTTTGTCTGACTTTGTTGTGTTATCTTAGGTAATTTTCACATATGCTGCTATATATTATAATTTATGTAAATGTATTAATGTGTACCTGTACATGACTAAACTTAGTAACCCAAAAAGTCAGTGACTTATGGTCATTCATCCGCTGATCAGACATAAGATAACTTAACCAGATTATCATTATAATCAAAAAGAAGTGCTAAACCTACAAGGGTCATACAGCGCAGCTTACTTAACCAAATGTTATTACATTCATGGGGAAGCGATAGACCCGTAGGGATCATACAGCGCCTATGAGCCATGAGAAGCACTCGGGTTTGATCCAAGGAAGGACGTGTTCAATTCCTTGGATGAAGAGCTCATCCCGGCATTATTATCATAATCAAAAAGCGTTAAACCTACAAGGGTCATAAAACGCAGCATCCCGGCATTCAGAAACCTCCCTTAAGAGGTAGTTAACCGGAGACCCCGTGATCACCCATCCAGTCAATGACCAGACATTACTTACTCTGCTATTTAGACTCCATAAAATAGTATTATAGCGCCAAAGGCCGCGCCTAACACCATTAATTACAGACCAGCTGACCTTCGCCACCGCCGCCATTCTTCCCTAACTTAAAAAAAATCATAAATATATTACTGCCGAGAGCTGTGATAAATAATTAGCACAACTTTAAACTGATTTATTCTTCCCAAAAAACACTTCATTATAAAAGTAAATGAGCATCAATCTTGCATATTACTAATTTATTTGTTTACATTATGGATTGTGATGAAATTTCTACAAGAATTTTAAAACTCAAGTCTATAATTAAATTAATTTCCTGGTCAACATTTTTAATGACAAAAAAGCTATGAAACTTCGCTATTTCAAATAATGTTGAAAAAATTATTTTTAACGATATTTCACTTTTTTAAGAATAAACAGTAGCGGTGACATTCACAATTTATTCTTTTATAATATATAAGCATTAAGGAAACACTAATGGTGATTTATTACGGTTAGAAATACAGATGTGTTGAATAATAATTGCCTTTATTATTAAAAAACAAAATGAGCACAAGATTAATTAGGTTATAATACTGAAAGATAAACGACAAAGTTTCACTTGCTTTTATAAGTTTTTCAACAATTAGGTACATAAATAAGTTTATATAGGCAGAGGTACACATAAATACTATCATCATACATAGTGGAAATTATCTAAGATAACCCAAAAATGACTGACAAAGTGAATTCTTTCCACTGGGGTTCTTGTATTATCTTATTATTTAAATCTTAACAGGTAAAAAACTGTTAACTCAACTATGTGAAAAACAGTTACAATACAAAGAGATACACTAGAAATAAAGTAAACTGAGTTATTTCCATTAACATTAAAGAGAGGATGAGATCACATTAATAGGTATATTAGGTTATCCTCTCGGTCTTCATGTTATGTGCACATAATGTCTGTTTTCAACACTATTCTATTTTTTTGTATGTTATACATACAGCACCTTAATAAATAAATGCTCATACACACGTTTTACTATATAAGATAGTTGTCAAATCTAAATTTGTATAATGAACCTGAATATAAAATCTTTCTTAACAGCATATGTTAATATAACCATAATCTTTTCACGTGTTTCGTATGTTTAAAATAACCATTATTTTATATGTATGCAACGTTTTAAATAAAATATATGAGTATATATATAAATAATCTTATAGGTTGGTTTCCCTGCTCAACACTAACATGTGGGTGGCAACTGTTGGTTATTAAACATTATGTACATCACTAATTACGTAGTTACTGAGGCAAGAAGGAACCTGTAAGTAAACCAGAGGCGTCCTAAAGATAATAACCAGCCCAGGGAAGACAAACACTGCTGCTGCAGTGTTCACCTTCATACAGTTGAGCTACTTGACTTTTGGTAATAGTATAAGAAACCCCAATGGAGGCAAGTCACTTTTGATTTTGATTTTTTTGTCCTAGGTAATTTACACTATGTATGATAATTGTAGTTATGTGTACCTGTGCCTAAATACTTAACTCAGTCGTGAACATTAGTGGTGATTTTTTTTTTTTGCTTGGGATTTTTGAAATTACTATAATTAATTTTATTTGTTCTGTTAGCTAAATGATACTCATATATGCATATTCTTTAGCCACTATTTGTCTAAAACTGCCTTTTCATAGTTTTGAAGGCAGGACCCCAGCAGAAGTAAGTCACTTAAGGTTATCCTAGATAATTTATATATGATAATTGTTCTTATATGTACCTATGCCTAAATAAACTTATTTACACTTTGACTTTTTTTGAGTTACATAGTGTAAATTACCTAGGATATGATAATTGTACTTTATTACCTATTAAAATAAACTTACCCTGATGGATGTGTCTGTTGTCTTAAAATTAGATACATATTAATGTATATATTATTTTCAGATGGCTTCAGCCGTAACTGAAAAGAAAAAGAAGCGAATGAGAGGGAAAAAGCCGTGGCAGAAAAGGAATATTCTCCAGTCAGAGGTGAAGGATGGTGTCCGCATCACTGAGTACAACAGTATCAGTTTGAGGGAAATAAAAAAGCCCTCCACTCACATATATCCTGGGAGAAAAGTTATTGATCCGAAGTTGTTGCAAAAGTACAGTAAAGGGGAGGGAGTTGAGGTAAGGAAAAATTTATTAATTTATTTCACAGTCAAAGACAAGCTGACATATTTTATTTGAGGGAAGTGTTGAATCTATTTGGGGTCATACAGCACTTGGGGAATGAGAGGTAAGGATGTTTGATTCAAGGAAGATGAGGGTAGCTCCAGTTCCTTGAATAAATATGAGTTCACTGGCATCTAGGAACCTTTTTGAAGTTAACCCGTAAACGGTCCAAACGTATATATACGTTTTTTCAACATTTGAAAGTATGTAAAAAAAGTAGATCTTCTTTTTGTTTTTCTACATTTGAAAATGTGTAAAAAAACTTTGATCTACTTTTTTTTTGTTATATTTGAAAATATGTAAAAAAAAACTTAGATCTACTTTTGTAGCACTACACATGTGAACGTAGATCTGCTTGGACCGTTTACAGGTTAAGGAACACAGCTCCTCTGTCTGGTTTATAACTGTGTCCTCTTATCTCTGTTGCTGACACTAAGAAATCTTCTTTATCTCATTTTTAAGTCTTTTGTGAACCAATATGTGATTAATGTATTCTCTTTTTCCCATTATTAGCCTTTTTATTGTTATGATACATACAAATAGAGGGCAAGATGAACTTGGAGCCATCTATGGGCCAGTGAATTCATTTCGTTGATGTCACTGTGCTCTCTCCCAATTTCATCACATAGCTTGTATTTTTTTTTTTTTTTTTTTTTTTTTTTTTACACACTGGCCGTCTCCCACCGAGGCAGGGTGACCCCCCCTCCCAAAAAAAAAAAAACACTTTCACCATCATTCACACTATCACTATCTGCAAAGGCATGCAGATACAATAATTTAGTTGTCACTCTAAACAACATAGTATATCCCAAACCCTTCCTTCAAAGTGCAGGCATTTTACTTCCCACCTGCAGGACTAAAAGTCCAACTAACCAGTTTCCCTGAATCTCTCCACAAAATATTACCCTACTCACATTTCAACAGCTTGTCTGTTCCTAAAAACCATTTGTCTCCATTCGCTCCTACCTAACATGCTCGCACATGCCTGCTGCATGTGTGCTGCATATGGCATTAAATTCCATCAGTCATTACGTATGCTTTTTTTTATCTATATCAGCCATTGAAGATTGTCATTTTTTTTTAAATTATTTTCACTAAGATTCTTGCATCATTCACAAACATATGCAAATAGTTTTCTATTCCTTCTTGTAAGTTATTAATATAAATTAAAAGTATTATTGAGGAAAGAATCTCCCCAAAAGGACATTTTTTTCCAGTTAACTGCATTTTTATCTCATACAGAAATTCTCTCATCCCTTTAACAGTTTACCTTTAATTATGGATGGCATACAAAGTATACTTTTTTTAATTTTTCATAGTTTAAATTATATTTTAATTTGCAGGTAAAAAGCATCGGTTATAAAAACAAGTACTTAGCGCATAAACTAAAAGAAAAGGAGAAAGCATTTCAGGAAGCTGAAGCAGCAGCGGCAAGAGCAGAAATCCTGCTGACAGGTGAGCTTCCCTTCATCCTCAAGATGACTATAAATAAAATTCAAGGTTCACGTATAAGCAGTGTTCCTTTGTCTTGACAGGTACATGAGCTCCTTCAGAAAACTAAATTTTTTGGGCTTGTTTCCCATGAGGTAAATTTTTTTTTTTTCCAGATTAATAATTCTCTCTTAATTCCTTGTTCCCTTTATAACTAAACAGAAGTATTTCTGGGCATAATTTGTGCCAGTTTAGATTTGGACCCTTAAAGTGGATACAGGGAACCACAATAAAAATGATAAATCTAATGCATAGCAGTTAAGAAAATGTATCCAGTTCACTGTATATTGTCTTCCAAAAGACTCATTACAGAAAAGGTTTTTATTGACCCCCTCAACAAAAAACTTTTGGGGGGCAATAAGCACTTTCTTATAAATTGTTACGCATTAGGTTCATCATTTTTGTTATGGTTCCCTGTATTCTGTTTTAGAGTTCAGTCCATATTGGCACATGCATCATATTAATTCTTCATCAATTTACTTCACTAGCAGTAAGTAGACATAGGCTTGTGTAAAATATTGGAAAAGATAATGCTTACTTAACCCTTAAACGGTCCAAACAAATCGACGTTCAAATTCGTAGTGCTACAAAAGTAGATCTACTTTTTTTTAACATATTTTCAAATGTAACAAAAAATGTAGATAAAAGTTTTTTTTTACACGTTTTCAAATGTAAAACAAAAAAAGAAGTTCTACATTTTTTTACATACTTTCAGATGTTGAAAAAACGTATATATATGTTTGGACCATTTAAGGGTTAATGAAATGATATTGTGAGATTAATGTTTTAAAATTAGTTTGTTAGCATTAGCAGAAATTCTCTTAAAAAAAACACTATCACATTCCTCAGTGATTTACATTTTTTATTATTGATGTATAAATGGGAGGGGGGGGCATTTGGGATTGATCTAAGGAAAGAGAGGGTAGGTTCAATTTTTTTTGGATCAAGAGCTTCTCACCAGCATCAAGGAACCTTCTTTGAGGGAATCAGATTTGTAGGCCTCTCAGTATCTTAGCTGCCATATTCAACCTCACTTGCATTGCAGACCATTTGTATTCTTCCAGCCTTTGGTGTAGTCATATAACATTGCTTAATTTTTTGTGCTTATTCAAAATTGAGGCCTTAGGTTATGTTTTTTTTAAACTGCTGTGTCCAACACAATTGTTAACTGTTTGTTAACATTCTATGTAAAAAAAAAAAAAAGAGCTAAGTATTATACTGTACATGTTGAATTTTCTTCCTTCCTTCAATTTTCACATAGTAATGGTGATGCTACTTTCCTGCAAATAACATTTTAATTCTTAGAAGAAACTGCAGCTTTGCAAATATTGTTATTGGAATATCCCAACAAATATTACTGTGACTAGTATGTTGTCTTCTTTCTGTAGTGTGACGATGAGCTGTTTTTGATTATATAGCTAAGTGTTCCTGTTCATGTGGTAAAGCAATTAAAAGAAAGCTGAGATTTAGATTGTTAGAATAAGTGACTATACATATATAATAAGCTGCAATATATATTTTTGTTTCATGAAGCATGTTTGTCATGGAACATCCTTCTCTAAAGTAGACAAATATAGTATGCATGGGAGTATATGTATGTATATGAGATTAATGTATTATAATTTTGTTCAACATTTCTTGCACAGAAACAAGTGGTCAGTTATTGGCTGAAGATGATTCATATACTTCACACATTACACAAAGAGACATCAGGGATGCTGTGGACATTACTTCAGCTGCTAAAAGTTTTGATCTCAATCTTAACCAGTTTGGTCCATACAAGTGAGTCACTGCTTCTTGCATATAACTTGAAAGTGTTGTCATTTTTCAGTGGCTTATGTCTTTTAATTTTTTAATTTGATTATGTAACAGTGGCTTACATACAACTGGAAGTTTGTAGCTGTCAGTGGTTGATTAGTACAGTGGTACCTCGAATTTTGAACAGCTCCCAACTCAAACAATTATGTAAGTGTATTTTTGTAAGTGCTTTTGTAAGTGTATTATTGGGGGTCTGAAATGAAATGGACTAATCTAATTTACATTATTCCTTAAAGGAACAAATTCATTCGGTAACGGCACTCGAACAGCCTTCTGGAACGAATTATGGCCAAAAATTGAGGTACCACTGTACTTGGATTAGTGATTAAGATCAGTAATTGAACCAGTGTTGTTTCAGGTTTATGTGAATGACATGCTAGATGAAATGATCATGTGTACTGTAACTGTTCACTGATGATGAGAATACAGACAGATGAGGATGGAGAAAGGCTGCCAAAAGGATCTGGATAAACTGCAGGGTTGGTCAGATAAGTAGCTGCTTGTAAAAAAAAATGTCTAGCTGCTTGAATTCAACCCCAGCAAATGCAAAGTTATAAAGTTCGGGGAAGGGGCTAGAAGACTGGACACCGAGTAAAGACTGGGGACAGAGGTTGCTGACCTTGTTCAAAGAGAAGGGCTTGGGAGTAAGCATAGTCCCTACCATATTGCCAGAGGATCACATCAACCAAATAACCTCTGCAGCCAGTACCTGCCTGGCAAATCTCAGACTGACTCACAAAATTGTAATGACACAACTGCAAATAAACCATACCACAGGTGGGGTTTGAACCCACGATCAAACTGGCTTTTAGGAATTTCAGCAGAGTCATTCTAGGTGCTTTGTGTTATGTATCAGGCCCATCTTTGGGTTTGCAGAACCAGTATGGAACCCACACCTGAGGAAGTATGTTAAGATACTAGAGAAAGTGAAGAATGCAACAAGACTAGTTTCAGAGATAGGAGATATTAGCTGAGGAAAGGCTAAAGCTGTTGAATCTAACTACCCTGAAAGACAGAAGGACCAGGAAAAATATGATAACATAAAAAATACAGTGGAACCTCAGTGCTCAAACAGCTGCCTACTTGAACAATTTGGTATTCGAATGCTTTGTTTATTATTATTATTATTGACACACTGGCCGATTCCCACCAAGGCAGGGTGGCCCGAAAAAGAAACATTTTCACCATCATTCACTCCATCACTGTCTTGCCAGAAGGGTGCTTTACACTACAGTTTTTAAACTGCAACATTAACACCCCTTAACACGTGCTTTGTCCAGTAAAAAAAAAAATTGCTCTGTAGTCGACCGTTTGCTCGGCATTCAACCAAACAAACACGACCTGCCAGAACTTTGCTGTAAACTATTTCACATTTCTTCGCATTTTTTGGTGGATTTTTATATTTGTATAAATAGGTCACCATGAGGCCTACGAAGATTATTGATAACAGCCAGCCAAAAAGAAAATTGGTTGGGAAAAATTTGTTCGGTACTTGAACAGATCGGTACTTGAACTGCCTTCTGGAATGAATTAAGTTCAAGTACCGAGGTTCCACTGTACACCCTCTCCTCACTTAACAATGGAGTTCCTTTCCTAAGACCATGTCATTAAAAGAATTCGTCGCTAAGTGAGGAGCGTACTATGATGGTAGTGGGTTTGTGTTGACCATCTTTGATATTGTTTTAATGTCACCTTTGTACCATTTATAACATTTCTGGTATATTTTTAAATGTTTTTACAGTAGTGTACTGTATATTGAAATAAACAGAATAGAGGAAATCAGCTCTGATGTACATTACACTCACCATCCAACTTACGACCTGCATGACGTACGACCACTTAACTTACGATCGTGCGTCTGGCAGCAGGGCTGCCAGACGCACGGTTAGACGCAGCAGTATAATGTGATCCATTATTGACAATGTTTCACCCACACAAGTAGAGGTAGTGGTAGTAGCAGTTGTACATGTGGTGGAAAAGTTAGCTGGTACATGAGAAAAAAAGGTTACAAAAACTATGGCTTGGGTTGCATAAAAAATAGGTTAGGCAAATGTATACGGATGGATGGATTTGAGAAGGCATGTTTCAGTGTCCCTTCTGTATTACATAAAAACACAAGAAAGGAGGAACACTGCAGCAGGCCTGTTCGCCCAAACTGGGTATGTCCTTTATTTTTTTTTTTTTTTTATTATCACACTGGCCGATTCCCACCAAGGCAGGGTGGCCCGAAAAAGAAAAACTTTCACCATCATTCACTCCATCACTGTCTTGCCAGAAGGGTGCTTTACACTACAGTTTTTAAACTGCAACATTAACACCCCTCCTTTATGTAGTAGCAATTATGTGATGGCAGGATTCTCGCTAAGACTTCAGAGATGATGAAGCTGCCTTTGTTTTGTTTAATTGTGTTAGAAATATTTCCCAAGTACTCAGGTTTGCGCGTGCTTTTGGCCATTATCTCGGAAGTAAGTTATTCATCTATTTTGTGAAAACCACTCGATAATAATGAATGTATTGAAGTGATTTCCACAACAAACATAAGAGTGATTGCTTCACAAGATTAAGATTTAATTTTTGAAGTATCCCTATCGGCAATTTTCTAAAGTTCGACTCGCTTCCATTTTGACTTACGACCAGTTGGTCGGAACCAAGCTCAGTCATAAGTCGGATGGTACCTGTATTTAGGTATAAATGCTGGTCAAAGAGCCTGTCGTAAGTCTGAGGCATCGGTAAACGAGCACGTCACTAAGTGAGGAGAGGCTGTACTTAGAGGAATTGATAGGGCAGACAGAAATAAGTTGCTTGAGACTGGAAACAGGTGCTCAGGGACACAGCTGGAAGCTACAGACATGAATGAGTCACAGATATGTCAAGTAGTATTTCTTCAGTCTTGAGGTGGTCAGGAACTGGAATGACCTTGATTAAGTAGTGGAGGCAGACTCCATACATAGTTTTAAGACTACTTTCCTTGTATGAACCTTAGCCCTGGCTTCGTCTCTGTAGATGCCTTCCTCTCCACTACATTGTAAAATGCTCCAAACTTCAGAACACCCGTGACTTAACCTGAATCCTCATTTTTTCTTTTTCTTTTTCTTCTTCCTCTTCCCCTTTCCTCTCTCCTTTTCTCCTCTGGGTTGTCTTTCTCTCTCCTGTCTCGTGTTTCTGTTCCTTCTTCATTTATTTTATTTCACCACTTTCCCTTTCACGCACCTCTGTGTGCTTGCTCTCCCTCTGTGGGCATCTAGCTCTCATGCAGTGCTCCCCTTCCTTTGTGTTTGACTGGCTTGTCATCCTTATTTCCCACTTCTACCACTACCACTACTACTACCTCTTCTTCTTCTTCTACTACAACTACTGATGAAATTGAGACACATGTGCGGCGTCTGGTTGTCTTTGTTGTGGACGTTTCGCCATCCAGTGGCTGGCTGGATGGCGAAACGTCTACGATGGGGATGCCCAGGTGTTGTGCATGTGTCTTAATTTCATCCTGTCGGTATTATATACAATTCTTGTACTGCTGCTGCTTGCTGCTGGCTGCTGCTGCTGCTGCTGCGCCGCTGCCTGCGCCCGCCGCCGCCGCCGCCGCCGCGCGCCGCCGCCGCCGCTGCCGCGCCGCCGCGCCGCCGCCGCGCCTTCCTCTTCCTGCCTATATATAGTCGTCCTGCTCCACCTCTGTTAGTGTGACTTTGTCAATGGTCCAAGTCGGACCGAAACGTCGTCATAAGCTTCTCTCTTTTATGTGCGGGTTATTTGTGTATCGTTCCAGTCACGGTATTGTGCCTTTTTGTTATTTATTTTAAGACTAAATACGATAAGGCCCACAAGGCTAGGGAAGAGTGAATCTGACAAGTGGCATGTTGAGAGGCGGGGCCTCTCAACATGCGAGCATATGGAACAGATTATGGACATGGATTGTGAATTATAGTTTAATAATTTTTACTTGCTTTGTGATTAAGATTTATATAATGGTGAATTGATCACTACAGTAGAAAGTTCATGATGTTAGAAATGTAATGTTTAAAGTGCTGAATGATCAAACAGCTCTAGTGCTTTGAAAATATAATATAATAACCACCTAGTTTCTTATAGAAACATTCGTTACTGGATTTGAAATATGTAAATGCAGGCAAGTTACAGCAATATCCCTGTTGCTGTGGGTTATCTCATTCACCCATTAATAAAAATAATTGTTTCTCTTGTTAGAATGCGATTCACTCGAAATGGACGGCACCTCGTTTTGGGTGGAAGAAAAGGCCATTTAGCAGCCATGGATTGGGTAACAAAAAAACTCCATTGTGAAATCAACGTCATGGAATCTCTCCATGATGTTTGCTGGCTCCACACAGAAACTATGATGGCTGCTGCACAGAAGCAGTGGGTGTACATTTACGACAACCAAGGAATTGAACTCCATTGTCTGAAAAGGATGGACAGAGTTCTAAAACTGGAATTTCTTCCTTATCATTTTCTCCTCTGTGCTGCAGTAAGTTCATGAGCACATTGAATGTTGCCTTTTCCACAATAATGAAGAGAAATGATTTCATATGTAATTCATCAGATGGACCTCAGTTGTATGAAGGTTCATTGTATAGTACTTCCTAATTTCTATATCTGATATTCTATGATGAAAAGTGACTTTACTGTTGTATGATGTCTTAGTTCGTCTCTCTCCAATGCTGTACTTATCATCCAGAAATAAACTTGTATTCAAGAGCAGAAGCCATTCACAAGAAGATATTTTTAATTTATTAATTTGAAAGTTTATTAAAATCTGGAAGTAGTTCCACCAGAAAACAAATGCTAATCATTTTTTTTTTATATCATTCTACCTATCAGTATATCATTTGAAAGATGCCTGCACAGGAACCCTGTGGCCAGGAGGGTCTACACACTGTATTATGGTTAACTTCTCAGGTGATGACCGTGTCTGATGTACTAGTACAACTAACTAGCATAAGTAAACACTGAAATCAGAAGCTGGTGTTCCATTACCAGCCTCCCTTCCAACAAACAGGGTGTGCAAGGGGCATAAAGATGACTTCTTCTTTCCAAATTTATTACAATTTCATGATATTAACAGTGGAATTCAGCCACAGAGCACACTAAGTATATTTAACCAAGGTTAACCCAGTAAAGTCAAACAGTGTGACTTATTTCCATGTTTTGAGAAGTATTTCTCTCTGAAACAATTGTAATATAAGTATTCCTTGTACACAGTGTTAGGAGACCAGAATAGTAAAAAAAATAAACAGAATAAAAAATAATAATACCATACATTCCAAGTGGGGCAATGTTGGGCTAAGCATTTCCCCATGTTTGAAGTGCTAAAACATCTTTAACTCTTTGACTATCGCAACCCCCAATCCTGAGGTGTCTCCTGGTGTCACAAAATTTAAAAAAAAAAAAAATTATTTTTTCTTATGAAATGATAGAGAATCTTTTCCTGATTTTAATGACACCAAAAAAAAAAAACGAAATTTGATGGAAAATTGATGGAATTACGCTCTCGCGAAGTTAGCGACCTCAGCGATATTTACAAATCGGCGATTTTGCCCACTTTGATCCCTGTTTTCGGCTAATTTCATTGTTCCAGTCGATCAGACTCATAGCTATTTCTTTAGAACTCCATTTTTTCTATTGATTGAGTACAAGAAACTGCCCATTTACTGATTTCAACTACCCAATAACGTGGTCGGAAATTTGCAATTTGGCCAATTTCACAAAAAAAATAAAAAAATATGACAATTTCAAAATAAGGTCCAGAATGAACAATGCAGACATTCCTGGCTCTAAAATAACATTTTCTTTGTTCATCAGTCATGTCTCCAGGCCTCTCTGATATTACTCTTGCTTTCTATTTTTAATTTTTATTCAAACAAAAAATAGAAGATTTACTGTTATGCAGACTACTGCAATATTGTAATAATTGTACAGATAATGTCAACCCATTCATGACTGCATATTAGAATGGCTAGTTGGACATTTATTGGACAATGACATCATTTGTTTACTTTTGAACATTGGCAAATATCAAACATTTCCCCTGCTTTGAGCTCCATTTCAAGGTTCTTTTTATAGTAAAACCAATCAAAATCACCTCTATTTCTATAATGTTTTCCATACTATCAAATGAGACCAAGAAAACGAGAATACAACCATAAATACTGTACGAAAATAGACCACAAATTCGGCATTTTAATAAAAAAATGGTCAGAATTTTTTTTTTCTCATTATGCACTGCGTGCTCCAGGATTTTTTTTATATGGTGCACACTGACCACACAGACCCATTCTCTCACATGTTGGCCTACAAGCTTTCTCCTGCTTGATTTGAAGCCGCTAGAATTTGAGTATATATACGTCAAACACGGTACCTTGTAAGACGTATATATATGGCCGAAACAGTCAAAGGGTTAAATCCATCTAATATCATAAGAAATTAGTGTACATAGCAGTTTGGAGGGATATGTTGTGTATCTTTATACGTATATGCTTCTAAACTGTTGTGTTCTGAGCACCTCTGCAAAAATGGTGATTATGTGTGAGTGAGGTGAAAGTGTTGAATGATGAAAATGTTTTCTTTTTGGGTCACCCTGCCTCGGTGGGAGACGGCCAACTTGTTAAAAAAAAAAAAAAGTATTAAAAGCAACTAAAAAAAAAAATAATCTTATCTTGGCATTAGTACGTTGTAAAATGTAAATATTGCTGCTCATTTATGCTGCTATTGCCAACGAGTGATTTTTTTTCTCCAATTTAACACACACCATAAAATTGTAAGTTTTTACCAGATTCCACTCAGTCTTATGCACCCTTTTTTTTCTATAAGTTTTTTAATTTTTTAAAAATTTTCCCCCACATAGGAATTTTTATTTGTGGTTATGCCACGGTTTAGGGGTTAAGAGAAGGAGGGCTGCAACAATTAGAAAATTAAAAAATTATGTGATGAACTAATTATTATAGACAGGATAGCATGAGCTATCCTGTCTTTGTACGGTTAACTAGTTAATGGTCCAAGTTGGACCAAAATGTCACCACAAGTTTTGGGCTCCTGTGTGCTGGTTATTTGTGCATTGTTCCAGTTATGGTATTGTAACTTTTTTATTGTATTTCTGTAGCTATACTTCCTTATTCACTCACACAGGCCAGATATCAGTAATAATGATCAAAGTAGTCTAATTAGCAGGGTCAGGGGGCAGTCTGTACCCCCCCTCAAACACAACTTGGTAAGGATACTAACACTAACCCTGTCTTTCTTTCTTTCCTACCTTCTCTGCTAGTGTTCAGTTATTGTTTTTCACAGAATGAAACTGGATATTTGACCTGGCTTGATATTACACTGGGAAAAGAAGTGATTCGATTTCCCACACTGAAGGGTCGTCTGGAAATTGTATGTCAGAACCCCTACAATGCAGTGCTGTGCTGTGGTCATTCAAATGGGACAGTATCGATGTGGACCCCTAACAGCCGTGAGCCTGTAGCCTCCATATTGTGTCATCCTCATCCCATAAAAGCTATTGATATTGATCCCACTGGAAGGTATTTGTTTTAATTTTTCTTTACTGTAAGTCCAGCCACTAAAATTTTGCTTATTTCAATTCAGTTTAAGTAAATATTCATAAATACAATAATTGGCCAAGGCTAATTAGTTGGCACTCAGAACTTTTACTAAATAGCTTTTTTATAATTACTGATTACTTTTAACTTGTTTTTATATGATCAATTATTGGTTACAGGATGCCAACAAAAGCATAGCTTAAAATCACCTTACATATTAACTTTTTCATGCTTTTTTTTAAATAATTGCAGATCCTTTATCAGCCCTTAAACTGTGAGAGATCCAAAAGGGTAATAAGACGTGCTGTTTATGGGAAAAAAAAATTAAATATATAAAATATTTTTTCCTGCCATTTTTAACTTTTTCACTGTTATGACCTCTAAAATTTGAAAGAAAATTCAGTGGACCCTCCCTTTTTGTCAATCTCCATTATCGCCGATTTCCATTTTCGTCTACCTTTTTTGTCAATATTTTGGTTCCGTTTTTGTTGATGGTATGGAACCTGTCCAGTGCCCAGTGCGCAGACAAAGCCACCTCCCACTCGCATTCTCAGGCAGTGTCACGTTAGTTTCTCAGTGAGTGAACATATCCTGCCAGATCGTACGAAACATTTTGTAATAATCCATTGATTTTGGCACTTGTTTATTGTGTATGACTGCTAAATAAGCCATCATGGGCCCAAAGAAAGCTTTTAGTGCCAGCTCTTTGGTAAAGAATGTGAGAAACATGGTAGAATTCAAGAAAAAGTTTGTAGAAAAATATGAAAGTGGTGGTGGTAGAGGGTGGTAGTGGTTGTGATGGTGGTAGAGGGTGGTAGTGGTGTGGTGGTAGAGGGTGGTAGTGGTGTGGTGGTAGTGGTGTGGTGGTAGAGGGTGCCTTCTTCAGTGATTCTTCTAACTCCTCCAATGTTGTTGGAGTTATATAGGGCTTCAGAAAACACCACCGCCTCAGCTGGTGCTTCACCACCACTACGTATGTATGGATTATGCTCTCAGTGGCCCTTATACACCCACCAACAACAACAACAGAACACCTCTTGTGACATACATAATGACTTATTTTATTCATTCTAGAGTATAAGTCATGTTTCTATGTTGTTAATATTGTTTATTGTGTCATAATAGTTGAATTGTGATAGATAAATAAGTCGTAGAGTTGATATTAGTGTCATATTCTCCAACAATAAACTTGCCTCCCTCTCCCCCGTCTGCCGTACACCAACAAGAGTCTTCAATAAAAGTAAGCGTGATGTTAAATGTTTATTTATACATTTTATTAGTGCTTTATATTTATTTGTCATTCTTTTCTGCATGTAAATCTATATTTAAGCTAGGGAAGTGATCCTTGATAAGGACTTGGTACCTAGAGTCCTTATGGAGGGGGATTCCCCTTCCCTCTCCCCTCCTCCCTGTCTTCCATCCATCAACAACGGCCTTCAATAAAGGTAAATGTCATGTTGAATGTTCATTCTTTTGTGCATGTAAATCTATCTTTAAGGTAAAAAAAATTTTTTTGTTAATACGTACTTCTGGGTGTCTGGAACCGATTAATTGGATTTACATTATTTCTTATGGGGAAAATGGTTTCTGTTTTTGCCGATTGCTCTGGAACGGATTAAACACAAAAACTGAGGGTCCACTGTAGTAAGTTTATCTTTTAAAATGGTAGAATCTTATTTTGAAGGTAATGACACCAAAAATGTGAAATTTGATGGAAAACTGATAGAATTACACAGGTGCAAGGTTGGCAATTTTTGCCCAATTCAATTGCTCAAACTGACCCAATTCCTGGCTGTTTCTTGAGTATGCCTTCTGTTCTTCTGCCCATTCAGTTAACAGAACTATACTGTAAAGCATTCAGATCCATAATTTGGCAAATTTTATGCTATGTTCAATAAATTCCAATTTAAAGAGAGTTCAAAATAAACACTAGGTACTCCAGCCATGAAAGCAACCTTTCCACTGTACACTAGTCACATCTCCAGACCTGTTATATATAACACTTGCCCTCCATTTTGAATCCACCTATTACAAATATTAAAGTTTTACATTATTTCTCAACTAATAAAATATAACTAAGAATGTTGGCATGGTTTAGGCCATCTATATAATTGATGTAGACCTAGTAAAACCCATCAAACTGGGGAGGAGTTTGTTAGGCCCTGCCTTTCTTCATAGAAAACTTGCCAATTTCAGACCACTTCTAGTCTGAAACTGACCAAAATCATCTCTATTTCACTAGTAAGTCTTCTTGTCAGTCAAATGACCACCCTAGGAAAAACCAAAGTTACTGTTTTAACCCTTTGAGGGTTTTGGTCGTACTAGTACGTTTTACGCGTAGGGGTTTTTGACGTACTAGTACTCATAAATTCTAGCGGCCTCAAATCTAGTGGGAGAAAGCTGGTAGGCCTTCATATGAAAGAATGGGTCTATGTGGTCAGTGTGCACAGTCTAAAAAAAATCCTGCAGCACACAGTGCATAATGAGAAAAAAAAAACTTTGACCATTTTTTTTTAATAAATCAGCGACTTTGCAGTGTATTTTCGTATGGTATTTATTGTTGTATTCTAGTTTTCTTGGTCTCATTTTATAGAATGGAAGACATATTACAGAAAATGAGATGATTTTGACTGGTTTTACAATGAAAGGTGCCTTGAAATTGAGCTCAAAGTAGCAGAAATGTTCGATTTTTACCAAACTTCAAAAGTAAACAAATCGTGCCAAGCATGCAATACACGTCAACTGGTGAGTCTAATATTCTTTTACAAGTGCACCAATAATATTTATACCATTTTTTACACTAATGCAGTAGTCTGCATAATAGTAAATCTTATATTTTTTGTGAGAATAAAAATTCAAAGTGGAAAGCAAAAGAATATAAGAGGGGCCTTGAGACGTGACTAATGACTAGAGGAAATATCATTTTAGTGCCAGGAATGTCTTTCTTGTTTATTCTGGACCCTATTCGGAAATTGGCATCTTTTGAAATTTGTGTGAAATTGGCAAAATTGCTAAATTCTGACCACTGTACTGGATAGTTGAATTTCATAAATGGGTGGTTTCTTGCACCCATTCGATAGAAAAAATGGAGTTCTAGCGAAATATTCATGTTTTTTGTCGACTAGTACAGTGAAATTGGCCGAAAATGGGGCTCAAAGTGGGCAAAATCGCCGATGCGTAAACATCGCTGAGACCGCTAACTTTGCGAGAGCATAATTCCGTAAGTTTTCTATCAAATTTCAAACTTTTGGTGTCTTTATGATCGGGAAAAGATTCTCTATCTTTTCATAAGAGAAAATAATTTTTTTTTTTTAAATTTGGCCGACCCTGAGAACGAGTTTCGGAGAGGGCCTGTCGACCCTCAAAGGGTTAATTCAGACACAGGTCAGATATTCACGGTTTCTATAATGCACTGCATGGGGCAGGATATTTTTTATGTACTTTGAATTCCCACTGCACAGACTCATTCTCTCCTGCCTAGACCAAAATTTACTGATCACAGCACATTTGAGGCCACCATAATTAAGATGTTTCCATGGGGATGTACAAAAGAATCCCTATTGTGTAAGCCATGTGCATTGTAAGAGGCTACTAAAGTGCTGGGGGCAAGGGGCTAGTAACCCCTTCTCCTGTATAAATTACTAAATGTAAAAAGAAGAAAATCTAAGTTTTCTTACCCTGTCTTGGTGGGAGATGACCATTATGTTAAAGAAAGTTTTGAAATTGGTGAAAAATGATCACTCATTGACAAAATGTGCATTAGTATTTATTTTTCCATTTATTTATACCATGTTTTGAGCATTTTGCATTTTTTTATTTATCTTTAATGTCTAACACTATATACAATAGTTTATTATATTGGATGCGTTTCAAGGTATTTAAGTATTCAAAACATGGAGATGCATAGTCTGATATAGGCCCACATGGAATATACACTGTAAATTAGCACCAGATAAATAATTGTTGCTTACTTTTAGTGCTTTTGTCTTCTAACACTGTATACAAGGAGATCTTATGATATTGCTACTGACTCTGGATGTGATATCCCAGGAAACATAGAAGTATGTCACATTGTCTTACTTCTTGGATCCAGAGTAAAAAAAAAAAAAAAAATTGTATATACATTGCAACATACTTTTTATGTGCCCATAACATGTGTGGCCTCATGACCATTGTAAAAAAAATATGTATGCTATATACACATGCCTAAATAAAAACAAAAATTTTTACATAGATGCAGAGTGGCGCATTAGACACATTGACATAACCTGAGTCGTTCTTACCCATGATGTACTGTGTGGATTTGCCTTGCCCTATTTTTTTTTTTTTTTTTTTTTTTTTTTTTTTTTTTTTTTTTTTTTTTTTTTTTTTTTTTTTACCCTAGGCCTGACAAGGTGGCAGGTCTCCCCAAACACCTGAACTGAGGCATAAAATGTTAGCTGGCATCAAATTTGAAGGTGTGAAAATTGCAGGTCAATATATGCCAGACACAGATAGGTCCTTGGTGTAAATTTGCAGCAGACACAGTTTAAGGGTTAAGTAGAAACTTCATGTCAGTGTATAAAACACTTGATTATTTGACAAAATATGAAAATTAGTAAGATCTTTCATCTTAGTACAGTATTGATTTGTGCACTTGTGTGTTTTAGCAACAGCAGGCTTAACAATAAAGTTGTATACAGCATACGGAAGTCAAATACAGGCAGTACAACAACCTAATTTTGAGCCCTGAAATACACAGTATTTTGTGGAGTGTATGTTGACAAAATATATTATACATATATACAGGTACATGGCTACAGCAGGACTTGACAGAGTACTGAAGATTTGGGATGCACGAAACTTGGGTGAATGTCTACAATCTTACAGTGTTGGTTCTGGGGCATCATCTGTAAAGTTCTCGCAAAAAGGTTTATTAGCTCTGGCTATGGGTAATGTTGTAGAGGTAAGTAGGAAGATCTTTTATGTATATTATTATTTGTATGTAGTAGGTTGGTAGACAGCAACCACCCAGGGAAGTACTACCGTCCTGCCAGATGACTGTGAAACAAAAACCTGTAAATGTTTTGCATGATGGTAGGATTGCTGGTTTCTTTTTCTGTCTCATAAACACGCTAGATAACAGGGATATCTTGCTACTCCTACTTACACTTTGGTCACACTTCACAGACACGCACATGCATATATATATATACATACATCTAGGTTTTTCTCCTTTTTCTAAATAGCTCTTGTTCTTTTTATTTCTTCTATTGTCCATGGGGAAGTGGAAAAGAATCTTTCCTCCGTAAGCCATGCGTGTCGTATGAGGCGACTAAAATGCCGGGAGCAATGGGCTAGTAACCCCTTCTCCTGTATACATTTACTAAAAAAGAGAAGAAGAAAAATGTTGGAGTGTGAGCAAAGTAACATTTATGAAGGGATTCAGGGAAACCGGCAGGCCGGACTTGAGTCCTGGAGATGGGAAGTACAGTGCCTGCACTCTGAAGGAGGGGTGTTAATGTTGCAGTTTAAAAACTGTAGTGTAAAGCACCCTTCTGGCAAGACAGTGATGGAGTGAATGATGGTGAAAGTTTTTCTTTTTCGGGCCACCCTGCCTTGGTGGGAATCGGGCAGTGTGATAATAAAAAAATAATAAAAATATTATAGTTTTGTTTGGTGTAATCTTTTATAATTATAGTATACAGTATTATAAAAGGGTACACATACACATCATCTCTTCTGAAACTATTTCTTCTTGTCAGTAGCAGGCAGTATCATTAGGAAGTGATCACCATGCCTCATATGCGAAATTATATGGTGATCGGTGCGGCAGCACACGTGCACTGCAGGTGTTATAACCTGTAATGGTAGAGAATCTTTTTCTGAAGGTAATTAAACAAAAAGTACGAAATTTGATGGAAAATTGACAAAATTATGCTATCGCAAATTTTGCTGTGCCAGCCGTATTTACACAGTGGCGATTTTGCCCACTTTCAGTCCTATTTTAGGCCAATTACCTTGTTTTAGTTGACCAGATTATTAGCTATTTTGCTAGTATGCCTTCCATTTCATTGACTGTGCACAAGAAACTTTCTAGTCAGCTATTTCAACTACCCAATAAAGTGATCATAAATTGGTAATTTGGCCAATTACACACAAATTTCAAAATATACCAGTTTCAAAATAGGGTCCAGAATAAACAGTGCAGGCATTCCTGGCACTAAAATAACATTTCCTTTGTTCATTAGTTACATTTTCGGGCTTTACACATGAATTTTGTTTTGAATATTTATTCACTAAAAATAGAAGATTTACTGTTATGCAATATTGTAATAATTGTATAAAAATATCAATGCATTGTGAATGCACATTAGACCCACCAGCTGATGTTTATTAAATGCATGATATGATTTGTTTACTCTTGAACATCGACAAAAATCTAACATTTCTGCTACTTTGAGGTCAATTTCAAGCTATTTTCATCTCTATTTCTGTAATATATCTTCCATTCTATCAAATGAGACCACAAAACTGTGAATACAACCATAAAAAACATACGAAAATACACTGCAAAGTCACTGTTTTAAACCAAAAACAGTCGCAGTGTTTTTTCTCATTATGCACTGCGTTCTGTAGGATTTTTTATATGGTGCACACTTATTGCATTGACCCATTCTCTCATATCTTGACCCAAATTTACTGCTCACAGTTTGAGTAAGCTGAGATCATGGTGTAGAACTATGGCACTGATGCTGGTTTCAAAGCCGTAGAACTACGTCACTGACCCAGAAAGGGTTAACCCTTATCCCTTTCAGGGTTGGTGCCGTACTAGTACGGCTTGCACACCAGGGTTGGTGCCGTACTAGTACGCATAAATTCTAGCGCCTTCAAATCTAGCGAGAGAAAGCTGGTAGGCCTACATATGAAAGAATGGGTCTGTGGTCAGTGTGTACAGTATAAAAAAAATCCTGCAGCACAGTGCATAATGAGAAAAAAAACTCCGACTGTGTTTTTGGTTTAAAACGGCAACTTTGCAGTGTATTTTTGTATGCTATTTATGGTTGTATTCTAACTTTCCTGGTCTCATTTTATAGAATGGAAGACATATTATGGAAATTGAGATGATTTTGATTGGTTTCACAATAAAAAGTACACCTACCATCCGACTTACGACCTGCTCGACTTACGACCACTCGACTTACGACCGTGTTTTTTATGCCAAATTTCTAGGAAATAAACAACTATTTGTGTTGTACACAGTGTTTATCCTAAACCTTACAGTATAAAATACAGTACTAACAACATAAAAAGTAAAGTAAAACATGAAATACCAAAATAAAGCAATAAAATAGTCATTACAAAAATGTTTTGTTGATATTCAGTAGTAAAGTTTGATTTACGACCATTTCGACTTACGACCGGTTTCTCGGAACCGAACTCGGTCGTAAGTTGGATGATAGGTGTACCTTGAAATTGAGCTCAAAGTAGCAGAAATGTTCGATTTTTCCCAAAGTTCAAAAGTAAATAAAACATGCCGTGAGTCCAATACATGTCAACTGGTGAGTTTAATATTCTTTTACAAGTGCACTGATATTATTTATACCATTTCTACACTAATGCAGTAGTCTGCATAACAGTAAATCTTATATTTTTTGTGATAATAAAAATTCAAAGTGGAAATTGGCATCTTGTGAAATTGGCAAAATTGCCAATTTCTGACCACTTTATTTGATAGTTGAAATCGGTAAATGGGTGGTTTCTTGTACTCATTCGATAGAAAAAATGGAGTTCTAGCAAAATAGTTATGATTTTTGTCGATTGGTACATTGGAATTGGACGTAAATACTGCTCAAAGTGGGCGAAATCGCCGATGCGTAAGCATCATCAAGACCTCTAACTTCGCGAGAGCATAATTCTGTAAATTTTCCATCAAATTTCATACTTTTGGTGTCATTATGATCGGGAAAAGATCCTCTGTCATTCCATAAGAATTTTTTTTTTTTTTTTTTATAAATTTCTGACCCTGAGAACAAGTTTAGGAGAGGGCCTGCCAACCCTGAAAGGGTTAAACTGTCCAAACGTAGATCTACGTTGATGTGCATAGTGCTCCAAACGTAGATCTACGTCCAATTTTACAAGTTTTCAAATGGAGAAAATAAAGGTCGGAGCATTTCGCACGTCAACATAGATCTTCGTTTGGACAGTTGAAGGGTTAAAAGATAATAAAAAGTCTGATATAAATTGGGAGTTGCATTTTGTTGATGATATAGTACTCTTGAGATTCTGAAGAGAATTTGCAGAGGTTGGTGGATGAATTTGTAAGGGTACATAAAAGATGGAAATTAAAAGTGAATATGTGAAAGAGCAATGTGATGAGAGAAAAAAAAAGGCAATGAAAGACTGGATATCATATTGGAAGGAGATATTATGAAAGTAAATGTGTTCAGATTTTTGGAAGTGGATTTGTCAACAGATGGGTCTATGAAAGATGAGGTGAACCATAGAAATGATGAGTGAAAAAGGTGGGTAGTGCATTGAGGCATCTGTGGAGACAAAGATGTTATCCATCAGAATATAGCAGTACCAATGCTCTTGAATGGGTGTGAAGCATGGGTATTAAAAGTTACAGCAAGGAAGAGGCTGGAGGCAGTGTAGATGTGTCTGAGGGTAATGTGCAGTGTGAATATTATGCACAGAAATCACAGTTTGGAGATTAGAAGGGGGGTTGTGGGTGAGTGATGATGAAAGGGTTTCTTCTTTTACAGGTCACCCTGCCTTGGTGGGAGATGGCTGGAGTGTTAAAAAACTACAGACTTCTATTTATTAATGCTTCAGCTTTATTAAGAAGCTTAGGTGTCTTTTGCTTACCATATCAATATTTTTGTGCCTCTTCACAAGTCACCTCTATGTAATATTCTCAGAAAATGAATACATTAAAAGTTAAGGAAAGGCTTTGGGTTAATAGTAGGATGTATTTCAGGTGTACCGTAATGTGACGAATGGAGGAGCTAGTGAACCATACATGCGGCACAAATCAGGCAGCACAATAAGAGATATGCAGTTCTGCCCATATGAAGATATTCTTGGCATCTCCACATACCATGGATATTCAAGTTTAATTATTCCAGGTATGTCTGTTTCCAAAGTGTGATGAGAAAAATGCTGCCAAGTGAGTGTAAAATGGAATCCTGTAATTGTTTTACATGATGGTAGGAGTGCTGGTGTCTTTTTTCTGTCTCTTAAACATGCAAGATTTCAGGTACATCTTGCTACTTCTACTTACACTTAGGTCACACTACACATACATGTACAAGCATATATATATATACACACACCTCTCTGGGTTTTTTTTCTATTTTCTTTCTAGTTCTTGTTCTTGGTTATTTCCTCTTATCTCCATGGGGAAGTGGATAAAATTCTTCCTCTGTAAGCCATGCATGTTGTAAGAGGCGACTAAAATGCCGGGAGCAAGGGGCTAGTAACCCCTTCTCCTGTATATATTGCTAAATTTAAAAGGAGAAACTTTCGTTTTTCCTCTTGGGCCACCCCACCTCAGTGGGATACGGCTGGTGCATTGAAAGAAAGACATCTGTGTGTGTGTGTGTGGGATGGATTTCATGTGCTGCAGGCATGCAAGGTTATCATGCATATGTGATGACACATAGATGCATGCCTACACTGACAAAAGTGGAATGTCTGAGCACAACAGATATTATTCCATCAACAGTAGTTCATTTCTCAACTGATATTTGAAGCATGTTTTTGCAACAAATTGACATTAGAGACTTAAGTAAATTGAACAAATAAAATTTCTGGCTTGCAGATATTTGTATCTCTATATTAAGTAAATATGAGGTGAACTGTAAAATTGATAAGAAAAAAAAGGGAGGGTGGTGCAGTGAGGCATCTGTGGAGACAAAGAACTTTATTAATGGAGGCAAAAAGGGGAATGTACCAAAGTATAGGGGTATCAACACACTTATATGGGCATGAAGCATGAGTTTTAGATGTTGCAGCAAGGAGGAGGCTGGAGATAATGGAGATGTCATGTCTGAGGGCAATGTGTGGTATGAATATGATGCAAATTAGTAGTTTGGAGATTGGGAGTTGAGGATGGGTTATTGAGGTGATTTGGACATTGAGTGAATAGAAGAAAATAGAATGGATATAAATGCACTGGAAAACGTGCAAAGGAGGATGACAAAGTTGATCCCATGAATCAGAAATCTTCCCCGTGAGGTTAGACTGAGGGCCCTGAATCTGCACTCTCTAGAAAGGCATAGAATTAGGAGGGATATGATTGAGGTGTATAAATGGAAAACAGGAATTAATAAAGGGGATGTAAATAACATGCTAAAAATATCTAACATAGACAGGACTTGCAGCAATGGTTTTAAATTGAAAAAATTCAGATTCAGGAAGGATATAGGAAAGCACTGGTTTGGCAATAGTTGTGGATGAGTGGCACAAACTTCTGGGTACCGTCATAGAAGCTAAGACGTTGTGTAGTTTTAAAACTAGGTTGGAGAAATACACGAGTGGGTGTGGGTGGGCGTGAATTGGAGCTGACTAGCGTGTGCTACTAGATCGGATCCCATGCTCCTCCCTTAAGTGACGTGACTGACCTGACTAGGTCAAGGCATTGGCTTAAGCCAGTAGGAGAATTGGATCTGCCTCACATAGGCCAGTAGGCCTGTTGCAGTATTCCTTCTTTTTTTTTTTTCAACAAGTCGGCCGTCTCCCACCGAGGCAGGGTGACCCAAAAAAGAAAGAAAATCCCCAAAAAGAAAATAATTTCATCATCATTCAACACTTTCACCACACTCGCACATTATCACTGTTTTTGCAGTGGTGCTCAGAATACAACAGTTTAGAAGCATACACATATAAAGACACACAACATATCCCTCCAAAATGCCAATATCCCAAACCCCTCCTTTAAAGTGCAGGCATTGTACTTCCCATTTCCAGGACTCAAGTCCGACTATATGAAAATAACCGGTTTCCCTGAATCCCTTCACTAAATATTACCCTGCTCACACTCCAACAGATCGTCAGGTCCCAAGTACCATTCGTCTCCATTCACACCTATCTAACACGCTCACGCACGCTTGCTGGAAGTCCAAGCCCTTTGCCCACAAAACCTCCTTTACCCCCTCTCTCCAACCCTTTTGAGGACGACCCCTACCCCGCCTTCCTTCCCCTATAGATTTATATGCTTTCCATGTCATTCTACTTTGATCCATTCTCTCTAAATGACCAAACCACCTCAACCCCTCTTCTGCCCTCTGACTAATACTTTTATTAACTCCACACCTTTTCCTAATTTCCACACTCTGAATTTTCTGCATAATATTTACACCACACATTGCCCTTAAACAGGACATCTCCACTGCCTCCAACCGTCTCCTCGCTGCTGCATTTACCACCCAAGCTTCACACCCATATAAGAGTGTTGGTACTACTATACTTTCATACATTCCCTTCTTTGCCTTCATAGATAACGTTTTTTGACTCCACATATACCTCAATGCACCACTCACCTTTTTTCCCTCATCAATTCTATGATTAACCTCATCCTTCATAAATCCATCCGCCGACACGTCAACTCCCAAGTATCTGAAAACATTCACTTCTTCCATACTACTCCTCCCCAATTTGATATCCAATTTTTCTTTATCTAAATCATTTGATACCCTCATCACCTTACTCTTTTCTATGTTCACTTTCAACTTTCTACCTTTACACACATTCCCAAACTCATCCACTAACCTTTGCAATTTTTCTTTAGAATCTCCCATAAACACAGTATCATCAGCAAAAAGTAACCGTATCAATTCCCATTTTGAATTTGATTCCCCAAAATTTAATCCCACCCCTCTCCTGAACACCCTAGCATTTACTTCCTTTACAACCCCATCTATAAATATATTAAACAACCATGGTGACATTACACATCCCTGTCTAAGACCTACTTTTACCGGGAAGTATTCTCCCTCTCTTCTACACACCCTAACCTGAGCCTCACTATCCTCATAAAAACTTTTTACATTATTATTATTATTACAATCAAGGGGGAAGCGCTAAACCCGGAGGATTATACAGCGCCTGGGGGGGTATGTGGAAGGCATTCAGGCTTAATTTGGGGAACTGGAGCACAGATCCAATTCCCTAAATCAAGAGCCCCTCACCAACATCAAGGAACCTTCCTTGAGGGGAAAACTCTTTACAGTATTTAATAACTTACCACCTATTCCATATACTTGCAACATCTGCCACATTGCTCCCCTATCCACTCTATCATATGCCTTTTCTAAATCCATAAATGCAATAAAAACTTCCCTACCTTTATCTAAATACTGTTCACATATATGCTTCAATGTAAACACTTGATCTACACATCCCCTACCCACTCTAAAACCTCCTTGCTCATCCGCAATCCTACATTCTGTCTTACCTCTAATTCTTTCAGTTATAACCCTACCGTACACTTTTCCTGGTATACTCGGTAAACTTATTCCTCTATAATTTTTACAGTCTCTTTTGTCCCCTTTCCCTTTATATAAAGGGACTATACATGCTCTCTGCCAATCTCTAGGTACCTTCCCC